AACTGTTTCAAGTCTTGAAATTAATTTTAGACTGAACAAATTCTAAATTTTAATTTTCTGTATTCTATCCCGAGAATGACGTTTCTGACAGTGTCAACTCCCGAGCTCATATTGTATCCATCTACTATAGGTATTTATCTTGTGACTTTAACCTAACTGTTTGGCAATTAAGGATTTTTTTCTTCTTTTAAAATGTCAGTGCGTTTTTTTTTATATGCCGCTAACATCGTGCTGTGCTTAGAGATTCTTGAAATTAAGATTCTCAAACTATACTTGTACTGAAAATTATTCCGCCTTAAAATACGGCGAGAATTTATCGATCGAATTTACTTGATCGAAACATGAACTTAACATGAAATTTGCTATAGAATTTAGGAATACATATATTAATTCCATAAATCCTCCATTCACAATATAACATAATATTTTCTAAGAAAATCCTTGGCTTAAAAATACATGAATTGTATTATTTAAGGTCTGAAATTTTCTCAGTCATTACAATCTAACCCCCTTAAGAAATTTTCGTCCCGAAAATTAGAATAACTCGGGGTAGCTTTTCCTCGTATTCTCTTCACGTTCTCCAGTAGCTTCCTCAATATTATGATTTCACTACAAGACTTTAACCTGAGGATTTACTTTATTCCTTAAGGTTTTCTCCTCGCGAGCTAGGATCTGGACTGCGTGCACTTTGACAGGTTCCTGGTGCAATACATGCGATGGATATGTCGCATACCCCTCTTTTACCGAATCTTATTACTCCTTTCATCGGTACCACCTTTAGAAAAACTAAGTCTCCTACCTGAAACTCTATAGGCCTGCGACGTTTATCCGCGTAGTTCTTCTGGCGACTGTGAGCTGTATCAAACCTCTTTGTGATATGTCTCACATCCTCTGTGGTTCTCCTGTTAAATCCTACTATTTCTAGATGCTTTTCCCCAGGTTCATACTAATGATTTGGGGACCTGCATTTTCTTCCGTATAGAGCTTTGAAAGGTGTCATTCCTATTGACGTGTGATAGCTGTTGTTATAGGAAAACTCTATCAAAGGTAACTTCCTATCCCAGTTCCCTTTAAAATCCATGACACATGCTCTCAGCATATCTTCTAGGGTCTGGATGGTCCTCTCAGATTGGCCATCTGTCTGCGGTGGAAAGCCGTACTAAACTTTAACTTAGACCCCATTGCGTCATGTACACTCGTGAAATGGCTGTCTCTTAATAGAATAACTGAGTTTGATCGGCAAAAGAATGTGCAGATCTTGTTAATCGGTCTCCGATTATCCAAATCGCATCATTACTATCGGATATTCTAGGCATCCCTACCACGAAATCCATCGTGATTTGATCACACTTCTATTCCAGAATGTAGATCTTTTACAATTATTCTGCTGGATGTTGTTCTTCTACTTTAACTTCCTATCAATCAAGGCAATTTCAGCAACATCCTTCTTCTGTTAGGGTAACTAGTGGTTTGGATGAGATAGTTTGTCTCCAAAATGGCTGATCACTCTTCTTAGTCTCGATTGTAATTTTAATCTTCAGCCGAATTAATCTTTAGGATTAGTCAATCCATTGCCTAGTATGAGTCATGATTGATCTCGAAACTATTTTTAACTTGACATCGACTTAGACTATACATTTCTATCCTTGATTCGGCTGAGACTCCATTATTAGATCTATCTGATCTTGGTCTTGGGTTATCGTAATATCCTTTGGATACAACTGTGTGAAAACTCTCTAACTGTGAGTGTGATGTACTACTTTCATATAAT